CGACTTTTCCACCGTCGGGGACGCCTGCCCCCCGTGCGGCTGCAAAGTGTCTGTCCTTCCGCGGCACCGCAGGAGTAAATTTTGCAGCCGCTCGGGGGCCAGGCGTCTCCGACGTCGGAAACAAGTGTATTTCTTGCCGTTTCCCCCCCATCAAATAAGGCCATCTCAGAAGGTGGCGGGACCTCTTAGAAGCCATCGCGCCTTCTGAGGAGTTGGTTGAGGGCTCCGAAGACTTCCCAGAAGGTCGGGGGACTTCCTCGCCTTCTGAGAAGGCCGGGGGACTTCACAAACGATGAGTTCATAGGATGGGTGAAGGTGCTTGCCCAGCCGGCGGATCGAAAAGCACAATGAGAAAAGGATGGGTGGAAAGGTAGGAGTCAGGTGTGGTGCGAGCGCACTTGGCCCTGTCCCGCCTCGTCCTGGTCTACCTTCTGCGTTTTCGGAGAAAGCGAAGTAAGTATGAATGCCTCCTGCTCCTTTGCTCATGGGTGCTGGCTCCGAAGACTTCTCAGGCAGCCCGGGGACCTCCACCCCTTCTGAGACGTCCCACCCCCTCTCGCTTCCCCCCCTCACTCGCCGTCGACCTTTGGCCTCCTCCCTTTTTTCCTCCTCCTCCTCCTCGCCCGCCGACAGCTTGGCGATCAGCAGGTCAGACTGAGACCACACGTAAGGCCGAGTCTTCTTCTTCGTCTTCTTCCCCCTTCTCCTCCTTCTTCTTTCTCCTTCTTGTTCTGGTAAAACATCGTCTCCTTATTTTCTTATTATTATGATTATTCCTCCTTCCTCCTCCTCCACCTTCTGTCTCCTTGCCTCGCCATGGTGCGCGCTGATTTGCCCACTTCGCAAGGGTCAGGGGCAGCTTCAGGGCGGACAGGCTCCGGGGGGAGATGAGTCGACCCCAACTCGCCCATTCATCGTTGTTAGCTTGGCATCGCTCGGGCGCGTGCATTTTCCTTCGGCGAGGACCATCGAGGAGCATCCTTGATCATTTGGCGAAAAAAGCCACGCACGAAACCGAAAAACACACAGGGAATGGACGTCCGAGCGATGGCCAGTTAGGGGTTAGACTGGCCACCCCGCCCAGGCAGGAAGGTGCGCCTTCCCGATCGGGGGCCTCGCGGCGATTTCTGCTCGGTGTTCCCCCCCCCCCTCGAGCCGTCCCCCCTCTGGCGTTCTCCCCCGAAGGGGGGCTTGGGGAAGGGTGACTCGGTCGCGTGGCGGTTGGACTAAAGGGGTCTTGACCCATAGTCGCGGGACGTGCCGCAGGCGGGGAGGCGGCTAGGAGTGCTGGCGGCAGGCCGTTGCCGACTGGAAGTTCCAGTCAAGGGTGGCAGCGAAGCGCAGCAAAAACGGGGAGGTGGGAGGTGGAGACGAGCCAGGGTCCTTCCATCTCTCCCTCCCCCACCTCCACGCCCCCTCCCCTTACCCCCTTGCTCCCTTCTTTCCTCCCCCGTGTACAGTGGCTCAACGTCTGCCAGCGTGACCCCCAAGAAGCAAGTCATTGCATTGTGGATGTGCAAGCCATGTGGTGCAAGCCATGTGGCCCAAGATGGAGCAACAAGGCCGCAGCGAGGCAGAAAAGAGATGTCACCCACCCAGCGCACGAGGCGGCAACGAGGCGGCACCAAGTGGGTGCCAGCCTACACCCAGACACGTTCACTCAGCGCACGATGCGGAACGAGGCGTTACCAGCCGAAACCCCGAGGTTGCAGGCGGCATCGAGGCGGCAACGAGGCGGCATCAAACCAGGCACCAGCCGAAATCCTGACACGCGCACCAAGCACACGCGGCGTCATTGAGGCGGCACCAGCCAGGCAGCAACCGAAACCACGACACATCCACCCAGCGCACGAGGCGGCACCGAGGCAGAATTGAGGCGCCGAAACCCGACACCCACCCAGCGCACGAGGCGGCAACGAGGCTGCGCCCACGGGGCTCCAGCCGAACTCATGTCACGCCCATCCAGCGCACGAGGCTGCAAGGAGACGGCGACGAGGCGGCGCCAAGCAGGCACCAGCAGACATTCGACGCACTTATCGCATTCGTTATCATCCCAGTAAGACCTCCTACGTGCAAGGGGAACGTATAGATATTGCTCGCCTCTCTTTCCTGATGTCGTATCTCTTCCCTCCGCCGATCCCTCATTCTTTACATTGGATTGCCCAGAGCGGCATCTCGATATCCAATGCGCAGTGTTTTTTTGTTCAGATGTTGCCACAAAGGATGGGGTCATTTGAAGGGTCACCCAGCCGGCGGATCGAAAAGCACAATGAGAAGGGATGGGTGGAAAGGTAGGAGTCAGGTATAGTGCGAGCGCACCAGGCTCTCTCCCTCCTCGTTCTGGCCCACCTCCTGCATTAGGAGGAAGTGACAACTGCATGCGTCCTGCTTCTTTGCTTCTGGGTGCTGGCTCGTCTTCGATTATGGCATGTGCCACGCTTTTGCGAACTAACTGCTGTTGACTGTGCCAGCGGAGGCCTTTGACGACGCCTGCGACAAGGCCTGGGCGGAGTTCTTCGATTGTCTTGTCTGGGGCGAGGAGGGGGGAATGAATTGGAGGAGGTGGAGGATTGCCTTTGGCCCGTCTTGTCGTCTCATCTTCGTCTTTTGCTCAGGAGGCTGAAACATATCTACGATCATAATTGTTACAACGGCAACCATCACCTCATACCCATGGTCGCCGTCGCCGTGCCTCAATCTGGAACACAGGAGCCAGCACCACAGCAGCCGCTTTCTCTTTCAAGAACCATCAGCGGCCGCTGGTGTTTGTCGACAACTCCTGCGGTTGGGCGTATCAGGGCTTCGGTCCTGTCCATTCTGGGCGTGCTCATTTGTGCAACGGTATCCGGCTCGCCGTCCATGCGGCACGCGGACCGACGAGGGTGGCCCACCAGGCAAGCCCAACTCGTGCCCTCACTTCGGCGTGCGCGCCCGGCGTCCGTGCTGGTCCATCCACGCCGTCGGCGTCGGGCTCGCTTGGCGCGAGTATCTTAGACGTATCAATTCAGGTCTCTGGCCTAAGGCTCTCAGTAAAGCTGAGCAAGCTCAGAGGAGCAAGCACCTACAGTAGGTGCAGCGGAATTTTCTTTCCAATACATCGCTACGCGATCAGGCAGATACTCCAGATACTCCCTCCCGGGGCACGCTGGCTCCTGCGGAGCGCCTCGGCGCACCGAGAGCTCCTCGCCCCTGGGCAGTCAGGGAGCGAAGGTTGCGGACGGCCTCCCGGCCCATCCGTCTCGCACGCGCCCGGGGCCGACCGAGATCCCGGTCAGCGTCGAGCGCCAGCTTCGGCAGAAGACCCAGTGGAGCGAAGCCGCAGGAGGAGGAGGGGTGGCCATGAAAGAGCGGGGTTCAGAGGCAAATTTCAGAGCGTGAATTACCTACCTCGCTTTCGCTTCCAGGCAAAACCAAGCCATACCACGCGCCTCCTCGTCAAGCGGCCTGACCAGTACATGCCGTGGTTTGGCATCGCTTGGTATCTCTTGGAAGCGAGGGTGGTCGAAAGCGAGGTAGGTCTGTTTGCCCCCTAGCAAAGGGGGAGCCTCGAGGGCTGTCGCAGTGTTCCTCCTCCCGGGGCCTCCCCAGAAGAAAGGGCCCAGGACGGAACGCCGGTCTCTGGAGAGCGTCGGGGCCCAGAGCCCACTTCCCGCAGGAACCCTTTCTTGCCTTGGAGGAGGAGTGCCAGAACAAGGAGAAAAGGAATAATAATAAGAAATAATAATACGACGAATCGTACAGATACTAATAATCATAAGGTGAACAAGAAGAATAAACGGAATAAGAAAAACAACGACGAGGAGTAGGAGGAGGAGGCGGGGAACCTTCTGGGGTATGCGGTCGGGCCCGAGCCGTCTCGCTCCGCTCGGCGCAGAACCGTGCAGCCCCCAAAGTGGGCGGGGCCCGGCTGTTCCTCGAGGGCGGCGGCGAGGCGTCGCAGCTCTGGACGCGGGGCTCTCGGCTCTGGCCTCTTGGGGCCCCTGCCAGCATCGAGGAAAGGTCAGACTCTCGGGGGCGGAAAAGTGGGGGGTGATGACTAGGGGGGGGTGGATATCATGGCGGGGGCCATGATATTTCTCCAGATTTCATGGCGCCTCTTCTTATTTCATTATGTCCCTGGCCCCCCCGCTGGGCCGCGCACATGCCGCCGGTCATGATTTGCACCCCCCCCTCTTGGACACCCCCTCTTGGCCGCTCCCGAGACTCGAGTAAGCCGGAGCTTCGGATGACGGTTTGCCGCGACGTTTTCTGGCGAGCGCGCCCTGGATTTTGACGGTCCAGCCTTTTCTCGAGGGCTGTTTGCAGCGGGAGCTCGCGTCGAGTTTCAGACTTGGCCTCGGCATTTTCGTGATGGCCTCGTCGGGCCAACCAGAGATGCGGGCAATGTTCGTATCCATATCCAGTGCGTCTGGGATTTTTTGGGAAGGAGCGTCACAAGGCCGAGGCGCACTGGATATGGATAAAAATCGAGCCTCTAGGGGGCAAATTTATCCATATCCAGCGCGCCTCTGGTTTCTGGGGAAGGGAACCCGAAACTCCATATCGGAGTGGACATGAACAGAAGTATTGCCCGCAAACCTGTCCGACGCCCCTTGCCCGCCCCCCCACGCGCCCCGAGGCTACCCCCTCGCGCTCCCCAACCTCCCCACGCCCCCCGGAGGACAGCGGCTTATCACCCCCCCCACGCGATCCACGCCCCCACGCTTATGGAGAGACCTGGAGTATCCATGTTTTCGGACTCGATTGCCTTCGCGCGGGGTTCTTCAGTGAGTGCTCTGGCATGAATCGGAGGTTGATAGACCTCCTACCCTGACACGTCGATCAGTGAATTGGCCGTTGTCGGTTCGCGAGAGGGCGTCGCGGCCGTCATGTTAGCGGGTCCAGGTCCGTCGGTTTCGGTCCTAGGCCGTTTTCACTAAAGGGAGGTTTGTCCACCGCCGAATGAAGCGAATGGCCTCATTTCGGGCGTCTTGTCAGAGACTTGGACCTTGAGGACGATCGAGATGCAGGACCCTCGCTAGCTGGTGCGCTGCCATATTCATGATGAGTTGTTCAAAAGGTTCACGCCATCCCGCCGACACCCGAGAGTTGAATCAAGAAGGAAGTGATGCCCAGGACGGGCATGGAGGCAACAGTGGAGGGGGATCAGAAATTGTGCGTAGAGTGTGGCACTTTGGACGGCCTTTGTTAAAGTGTCTTGGGATACCCTGGGTCCCCCCTGATGGATTCACAGTTAGAACGATGATGTGGAGGTGATGTGCAAGAGAGGACTTGAGTATGAGGATGACGACGGCGACGACGAGGATGACGAGGCGAGGGAGGAGGAAAACCGCCGTAGTGCGATTGATGGGAGTGAGGGGACGTGAGAGTATGAGCCTCGAATGGTCAACCCCCTTGCTCCATAGTATTGCCAACGATCGGAGACAGCAGCTAAGGATCCCGCAACGCGGGAGTCACGGCGACCCCTTGTGCCATGAGGGAACCAGCCCGCAAACTTCCCGCTCGGGGGGTATGATCTGGACACGTGTGCACCCCCAAGGTTTTAAGCCCCTGTGCGGCCGTGTAGTGACTTTGGGGAACCTTCTGGGCTCTCTCGGGGCCATCTTGGCATGCCGAGAAATTTGCTGGGCCCGTTTTGGAGTGTCTGGAGCCCGTGTGGGGGAGTCTCTGCGTGGTCTTGGGGTTCCCTTGGGCCATCTCAGAGTCGTTTCGTGGCCGGCTTGAGCGCCAGACAGGAGCCTTTGAGGATCTGTTGGTGGCACCTTGAGGTCATATTGGGCCGTCTTGGGGTATCTTGGAGGGCTCTTGGAATCTTTTGGAGGCCTCAGCAGGTTCTGGGGACATTCAGAGTTGAGCAGGGGGTCGTGGCAAAACATACAAAAACCAGAGCGGGGCCACCTTGGACCATCTCGACCCATCTCGGGGGCCTTTGGGGCCCAGTGGCCCATGATTTGCCAGTTCTGAGGGCCTGATGAGTGCGTTGACCAGTCATCGGGGGCCCCCCCTCCCCTCTAACGGACTTGGACCCCGAGGACGGGGAAGTGAGGAGAGGGCAGCCGAATTTCTTACTTGGCGTTCCGGCCCTGGCAAGCGAGCTGGGGGATCAGGAGTCCATCCGAGCATATGCGTTCGGCAGCCAAGCACGAACGCACATCACACTCGCCTGCAGCAGATCGACCCGACGAAACTGGGGCCAACCCCTCCCATCCCTTCTTCTCCCAGCCCGTTGCCGCGCGGATGGGGCAGGGCTGGAGGGGCAACTGAGGGCGAAGATGCGAAGGAGGGTGTTGAATGAGGAGTACGCCAGAGAGGTCGAAGAGGAGGACGAGGAGGAGGAGGAGGAGGAGGAAAAGGAAGAGAAGGATTGGGGACGGGTTTGAGGATTTGAGACCCCGGTCGAATGGAACTGTTGGATCACTGTTTGCTTTTGGCCTCCGTCGGCCGTTCTCGGGCCGACATCTCTGGGCCCTCGGACCGAACACAACCAGGCTATCCGAGGTCTTGGGAGGAGACGGAAAGGAGGACAGGCTCAGGCAGAGTACGGCAGGTTCATGCGGCGTTGGCGCGCCGTCGACGCCGGCGAAGGCGTTCGAGGTGGAATTCTGGCGACACGGATGCACAGATGGACACGCCAGCGCCGCTGGAGCCGATCGGATTGAATTTTGAACGGTCGGAGTTGTGATCGATTCAAGGCTGAACGATCGACGCGGTGACACAACGTTTTGTGCGCGCACCGACGCCGCACGAAGCTACCGTAAAGCAGGAAAGGGGGACAAGGGATCAGTCTCAGAGGAACGGCGGCAGGCTCATACTCGGGTATGGCCAGGATCCCAGGTAAGGGTACCCGGTTAGTGGTAGGGCCCCGGAGCCTTTGAATTAGCCAGAATCACTAAACCAGGTTTGCCATAGCTGGTGTGTTTTCGGGTGACGGCAGTTCCGGTCAGTGGAAATTGGACGGGGGGCGCCCCCAGTACAGATCTCTAAACCAGGTTCCACTAAACCGAGTTCTGCCAACGCCCGACAGACGCAGCCTTGTGCTGTACCTGTCGCGCACGAGCGAACTGCGCGAGGAGAGGGACGGCCCTGCGTTGGAAGCACGTTCCAGGGCGCGCTCCCCCCTCCGCCTCCTGCACCCTGCCGCGAGGCTGGCGGCATCACATCTCCTCCTCTTCGCCCTCCTCCTCCTCCTCCTCCTCCTCCTCCTCCCCACCGTAGCCATTTTGGCTCAAGTGGCCATTTCGGGAACTCTACCCCCCGCCTCGAGTGGCCAGCGCCCGCCGCGCGCTTGGGGTCCTGGAGAGTGCCCACGGACAAGGACCCCTGCTTTGTTTCACACTGAGCACGCATTTTGCCTCTGCAGTCAGGTACAGTACCTACCAAGTCGTTCTGTTTTCATCGGCGCGATGGCTCTTACTCTCGAGAGTATGAAGGAGTTGCTTGCGGGTCAGTTGAAGTCCCACGTTGATCCCATCAACGAGCAGATCAACATCCTGTCGAACG